TCATATAGAAAACTCCCTCGCTGAAACACATTCAGTTTAATTTTCCCAAACTTCTTACTACTTTCAGTATTGCTTTGTCATTCATGTTTGTGTGACGGAGGTCACACACATTGTGTGTAAAACAGCCACACGCTGGATGTTGCAACACAGACTTCAGAGCAGCTGACTGCTGTTTCTCATGGGCTCATCATGATTCACTCAGGTTAACAGCTGGATGTGGTACAGCTGTGACAACTGAAGCCATCCACGTGATCTTAATTCAGTCATTCCTGATCACCTGAGCTGGCGTCACCCATTGGGGCTTCCAGGCCACACATCAGCACAAATGTTTCTTTATACTATACCGTATTGCCTGTTGTATTGGGTGCAAAAATTAGGGCTGGGCAATGTGAGGAAAATCTCAAATCAGAACATTTCTTTTTTGCTGTATCACGATATATGTAAATAACCTAAAAAAAACAAACCCAAGTGTTATTCTCAACCATATAGTGGCTAAAATCATCGAGTATATTCAATGTATCGCCCACCCCTACTAGAAATATCTTCAAATACAGGAAGCTAGTTTCTAGCAAATTCAAAGGTTTTTTTAAATTTGTTTTATTTTTTTAATTTGTGGTTTGCTGCTAACTCAAAATGTTCTGTTTTAATTGGACATTTGAGTTAAGAAGCACCAAATTTCAACAACACTTCCCTCATGGTGCTTTATATTGTAAGGTCAAGACCCTACAATAATGCATACAAACTCCAACCCCCTAGAGCAAGCACTTTGGTGACAATGGGAAGGAAAAACTCACTTTTAAAAAAGAGAAACCTCCGGCAGACCCAGGCTCTGGGATGGGGTGGCCATCTGCCTCGGCCAGTTGGTGATGAGGGAAGGAAGTTGGGAGAAGAAGAGTGGTTCTTTTTAACCACTCTGGTTTTAAAATTAAACTTAGATGCCCAATTTAAATGAATATTTTAAGCCACTTTGAGAGTTTTGTCACATAGTCGCATGCACGTTTCAGTTCAATTTTAGCGTGCACACGAGAAAGCCCTCAGGATGATGTTTTGGCTTCTCAGTTTGGCGTGTTTTTTGAAGCTGCTGACGATTTCCTTGTCAACTTCCAGGCTGCTCGACTTCATTGAGAATACTGGAGACGGCCACTTTTCCTTAAGTTCGTTGTACACTGTCAGGGCGAGTTGTTCAATGTTCTCCAAGGACATTTTGTAGTTTTTGGACAAGATTTTGATCCAGATCTTATGGGAAAGCTTCTGTATAATAAAATCAGATGTTCCTGGATCCATTGTATCATTTTCTTGGCTCATGGCGTGCATTACCAGATCTTTAGTGACATTTTTCACCACTTCCTTGTACTCTTTCCTATTTTTAGAGACACTGAGGACTCTTCTTGGTAATGACAACAGGCGTTTGGTGAAGGCTGGGACAGTAATATTATCAAGCTGTTCCCTCAGATTAAAAATCAAATGTTTTTCCTTGCAGTTGTGTGCTTTGCAAAGATCCTTGAGAATGGCCTTGTCTAGATTTTTCAGCCGTTTTGGGGACAGATCCAAATGTT